GTGTTGGTGGTGGTCACGTTGACGGAAGACGCGGCGTGGTAACTGAGGGAGGAGGCTGCCAAGTGAAGAGGCCGCGGGATTGGTGTTATACGTTCCTCTACCGCTCTTAATGATCGCCTCCTTTTACACCACGACATCACCTACACGTTGCTAGAGAACACCCTTCACCCACTCCAACCAATCACACTATCCAACATGTTTGGCAAACGTCATGTTGGACGAGAAAATATCAAACTTGTTTAATCTTCTTCAAGCATGTTGGTCATACCTTCAAACTTCCACACACTCTCAAATTGTATGATCAAACACCATGTTTGACAAACCTATTTGATAGTGTGTGGGCGCCTTTATTAGTTTCTAATCTTAACAGATGGTTACACGATTGACAATATTTAGATTGTTGTGTAAAGTATAATTATAAGTTTATTCGTCATTGGTGATATTTACATAACTTAAATTCTAATACAGTTGATATAATTGCAATTTGAGTATGTACATTTTTATCAGAAATAATTGACTTACATTTTACCAAGTCCTTTATATATTAACTCACTATGAAATTCTCATAAACCAATTTACTAATGAGAATATACTTAAGTTACATGAGTGAGAGGCAACCAAGAGCCTAAAATGGTGTCTTGGAAGTGTGAGTGCCTCTTGGGTGTCTGTGTATGAGGCGTTAAGTACCGCTCTGAATACGGCCCCTTAATCTGTGAGGTAAAGTTAACACAGGTGCCCTAACATAGCCGGGTAAGGCACCAGCATCCGCCAGGAATATTGCCTTTATTATTGTTTATAGTTTATGCATAACGTGTTAGTCTCCTTAGTGATCCACGTTCGGTGTGTTGATGTCTGCCTCGTACCCAAGGTATATCTGTATCGTAATCAAGATGACTTAGCACAGTATCACCGACTTAGCACAGTATCACCGACTTAGCACAGTATCACCGACTTAGCACAGTATCACCGACTTAGCACAGTATCACCGACTTAGCACAGTATCACCGACTTAGCACAGTATCACCGACTTAGCACAGTATCACCGACACCGACTTAGCACAGTATCACCGACTTAGCACAGTATCACCGACTTAGCACAGTATCACCGACTTAGCACAGTATCACCGACAGCACAGTACCACGGACTTGGCACGAGTATCACCGACTTGACACAGTACAGTATCACCGAACAGTATCACCGACACAGTATCACCGACTTAGCACAGTATGTATCACCGACTTAGCACAGTATCACCGACTTAGCACAGTATCACCGACTTAGCTGACAGTATCACCGACTTAGCACAGTATCACCGACTTAGCACAGTATCACCGACTTAGCACAGTATCACCGACTTAGCACAGTATCACCGACTTAGCACAGTATCACCGACTTAGCACAGTATCACCGACTTAGCACAGTATCACCGACTTAGCACAGTATCACCGACTTAGCACAGTATCACCGACTTAGCACAGTATCACCGACTTAGCACAGTATCACCGACTTAGCACAGTATCACCGACTTAGCACAGTATCACCGACTTAGCACAGTATCACCGACAGGCACGAAGTGCACCGACTTGGCACAGTATCACCGACTTAGCACAGTATCACCGACAGCACAGTATCACCGACTTAGCACAGTATCACCGACCGACTTGGCACAGTATCACCGACTTAGCACAGTATCACTTAGCACAAGTATCACCGACTTAGACTATGCACAGCTTGTATCACCGACTTAACAGTATCACCGACTTAGCACAGTATCACCGACTTGGCACAGTATCACCGACGCACCAGTATCACCGACTACCACCGACTTGGCACGGTATCACCGACTTAGCACAGTATCACCGACTTGGCACAGTATCGCGACTTGGCACAGTATCACCGACTTAGGCACGAGTATCACCGACTTGGCACAGTATCACCGATTTAGCACAGTATCACCGACTTGGCACAGTATCACCGACTTGGCACAGTATCACCGACAACAGTATCACCGACAGGCACAGTATCACCGACTTATCACCGACTTGGCACAGTATCACCGACTTGGCACAGTATCACCGACTTGGCACAGTACTCACCGACCAGCACAGTATCACCGACTTGGCACAGTATCACCGACATCACAGTATCTCCGACTTGGCACAGTATCACCGACGGCACAGTATCACCGACTTATCACAGTATCTCCGACTTGGCACAGTATCACCGACTTGGCACAGTATCACCGACTTGGCAGTATCACCGACAGCACGGTATCACCGACTTGAGTACACCCTAACGCTGCCACGGGGGCGGGCGGGGGTATATTAGGTTTACAATATGGTTGTTAATCTTTAGGTGAAATAAGTTGGAGCTAATCTTCAGGTGATCTCATTTCTTTAGTGGTTCTCTCTGTTAGTTGATACTCAGGACTTAATTCGTGTTAAGGTATATAGTTAGAGAGCGTACTTGATGTGGATAAGTATCCCTTATCACCAAAACCTTGTACACACACACACACACACACGTTAAGCCCGCTAGAGTGTCGGGTAGAGCAATTACCGGGCTTATATATATATATATATATATATATATATATATATATATATATATATATATATATATATATATATATATATATATATATATATATATATATAACTAGCCTCCGCTCTACCCCCCAAAAAGGGGGGGTGGTAGGTTAATGTGTAATATACTGTGTCAACGGATCATTAATGGCGTTTAAACATATCATTAATAGTGATGAAGTGTTATTTGCACGAGGCAAAATGTTTCTTATGTACACCAACCATGTAATTGGGATCTGCAAGTTGTTCTTAACTGTTTGGAGTTTTAATTATGAAGAATGAATGACTTACAGTATAGGAAAAAATGAGAGTGAGGATCTTGTTTATGTCTCAGCAATTAAACCAATTATACTCTTATAACTCCTTCAGTAAAGTCTGAGTTGAACAATACTGAATATTACGTTACACAGCAGGATGTGATGATAGGTGCGAGGCTATACAAGAGTATGATACTATATGAATATAAGTATTATGTACAATGAAAGACAAAAGTCGTGTGAAATTTGGTGAAAACATTTGCGAAGGGCTAAACTTTTGGTGCGCTCTGCCTTGTGGTAGGAGGCTCTCATAATGTTTCACGAGTTGTATTTAATCTTTGGGACAAAACCGCGACACGACTTTTGTCTTTGACTGTACCTATAAGAGAGTATTGTATAATATGAATACACAAACATTTACTCTTATAAATGTATAGCTTGAAAGCATTATATTGTATGTCATGATTGCAGTACAGTATGCATAAACCTATTTTGTAAATGAGAATACTGTATACTGTAGGTATTAATTAGTGGTATAATGTATACACATTCTTGACTAAGGATCGAGTAGTATTATGTGATGGATGATTTAATTACCAGGTGGGAGCCAGGTGAGAGGGGAGTTAGGTCAGTTAGTGAGAATATTTATACTCTAGTTTCATGGATATTATTAAGACGGTGTTGTATTTTTTCTCTCGATAAATTTGTATAATCATAATGATGTATATGAGGATAAACAATGATTAACTCATATTACCTGTGTGTTATACCTGCCACCCACACACTTTAAATACCGTAGTGTATCATTATAACTCGCCATGAGTGAAGGTGTAGTGTTGTTTGTTGGTGGCTGTTTTACCCTGGACCGCCGCTGGATCCTTCAGTCTCTGGTGAATAATGACCTCGTTAGTCCTGGTTTATTGTTGACCTAATTAAGGTTATTTATTGCGGTCTTAGTGGGCCATCTTCAACATTATTCGCTAACAGTCACTTACTGGATTTATGTTTTGTATCTCTGAGGTGTTTAACGTACAGTACATAGTTGTTTATATATCTTTGCCATTGTGAATATTACACTTTGAATATTTATTTTGACTATGGATGAATTTTAATATAATTCACGTAGTATTTTACTTATCTTATTATATTATTACAGTTGTTACCTTTACCTTGAACATATGATATCGCTTGGGTATACGTGAGTTTAATTTGAAACATTTTATGGAAATTCTTATGTAAGTTACGAGCCCTTGTGTTGAAATATAAAGTCATTTGTGATAATTAACTTGTTAGAAATTCAAGTCGTATAATTTAATGCTCTGTTTATTCTATTCTGAGAGTGACTGGTGTACGTACCCAGCTATAACCCTTTGTTGCCAGGAGGTAGAGGTAGGAAGAGGTGAAAAGTAGGGGAGGTAGAGGTGAGGGATGAGGTAGGAAGATGTAAAAAGTAAGGGAGATAGAGGTGAAGGGTGAAGGAAGTAGAAGTGAGTGGTGAGAAAGATAGAAGTGAGGAGTGAAGGGGATAGAGATGAGGAATGGGGGAGATAGAGATGAGAAATGAGGGAGATAGAGATGAGAAATGAGGGAGATAGAGATGAAAAATGTGGGAGATAGAGAAGATAAATGAGGGAGATACAGATCGAGAATGAGGAAGACAGGTGAGGAATGAGGGAGGCAGATGTGAGGGGTGATGGAGATCGTGGTGTGGGTAAACATGTCACGTAAGCCTGCAGGGTGTTAGCGGTCCCTGGGGTTTTATCAACAGGATATCCTCTCTAGCTGCCTCCCTTGTGTGCTCACGGTCTGGTCACTTTAACTTTTGCGATCATTGTCTTGGTCTTACTTCCCCCAAGCATCTCGTATACTCTTAGGTTATTTTAAAGACACGTAAAGGAGAAGATAGGGGATGGGAAGGTGTTGGGAGGGAGGGAGGGAGGGAGGGGAAGGAGGGAGGGGGTTTGTGAAGGAAGGAGGGTTTTGTGGAAGGAGAAGGGGTTTTGTGGAAGGGAGGAGGGTTTTGGTGGAAAGGAACGTGGGGGAAGAAAGGAGGGAGGGGGTGGGGCTTGGTGGAAAGGAGGAAGGGGGTCTTTGGTGGAAGGGATGGAGAGAGGGAGGAAAATGGGGATGATGGCAGATTTATGCCTTATCATGTGTTTAACAAGAGGATGGAAGGGAGTGCTGTGCCGTTCCCACCAGCTGACGCCTCTTTTGTGCCACTTGTTTCTGAGGTGCTACTTGTTCCTGAGGTGACACTTGTTCCTGAGGTGACACTTGTTCCTGAGGTGACACATGTTTCTGAGGTGCCACTTGTTCCTGAGGTGACACATGCTTCTGAGGTGCCACTTGTTTCTGAGGTGCCACTTGTTTCTGAGGTGCCATTGTTCCTGAGGTGCCACCTGTTCCTGAGGTGCCACTTGTTTCTGAGGTGCCACTTGTTTCTGAGGTGCCACTTGTTTCTGAGGTACCACTTGTTTCTGAGGTGCCACTTGTTTCTGAAGTGCCACCTGTGTCTGAGATGCCCCCTGTGTCTGAGGTGCCACTTTGTTTCTGAGGTGTCACCTGTTTTCGAGGTGTCACTTAGCTCTGGGGTAGAATTTATTACCTGAAGGCTCTGGGAAAGTACATTTTGTTGAAGGTGTCACTTAGTCATGAGGTGGCACTGTGTTCTGGAATGCTACTTAGCTTTCAAGGGGCACTTAACTCCGAGGTCCCATTGACTCACCTTCACAGTCATTTTGCTATTTTTTTCCCACGATTTGTGCTCGAGTTAAGGTGACTGAGAACGGTAAGGTACAGTACGGCAGGCAGTTAAGACCAGGTTGTAGAACAGTATAAATATGGGGCTGATAGTACCTACCTTCTCTTCCCTCCAGTACAAGTTAACACACACACACACACACACAACTTCTGTATTCTCTCCTCTTCTCAGCTCCTCCCTTCTCTCTTTTTGTCTCCCCACTCCTCCACCTCATCCCTTCTCTACTCTTATTTAAGGTTTATTGTCTAATATTTCATGATAACGTTGGTCAGAAGTGCTAGTAAGTTTCAACTAAGACATCTGTTTCTGAACACTGTGGAGTGAGATGCTCTTTATTTTATACAGTGCGTTGAAAAGGTGTGTAAAGTGAGTGTACCGTGGGTGAGGGTACTATGGGTGAGGGTACCATGGGTGAGTGTACCAGAGCTACTAAGACCACCCCCCATTCGCTCCTCTCAGTCCTAGACCTCCATAAAATATCACAGTGTGAAGGTGTGGAACAACTTACCCCCACCCATCCGAGCAAAGACTACGCTCCCTTCCTTTAAATCATCTCTTAAAAATATATCTATTGTCTAAGTATTAATATTTCTTGTAACACCTACAGTACTATATTTACAGTACCTGCTTTTATTGTACCATCAAAACCGTTTTATAGGAAATTATCATGTAAATAGATAAGTAATTACCATTGCAATAAACATAATTGCCAAATAAACATAATCCTGACAGCTCTGTCCTCGTGTTCAACCTTATTACTGTACAAACCATGTTGTACTGCTCCCCCATTATACTTATGTTTTTCAATTCCACTGTAATTTGTGTATATAAAAAAAGATATAGAAAAAATAATAAATAAATAAAATAAATAAATATTGAAGTGATAACCGTGGTAACATTATGAGATGTTCTTATTACCACCATGCTATTGTACTATTCCAGATGATACTAAATGTTACATAATACTTCCTTGAGATAAATGTATAGTATATATCAGGTGCCTCAAAGAGAGCTCAGGTTCTCAACTGGCTCAGCCATGTTAATATTGTTATTATTATCCATTCTGTATCTGTGTTTTTCTGGCTATATAAACTGTTTCAATTCAATTCAAGGATTACCGGTGTCACAAGTTACCCGTTTCCCAGACTTTACTTTGTTTGTTTACACTAGACAGGAGTGTAGTCGTACAGCAGCCAGGGATGGCCAGCGCTCCACCAATGAGAGTGCTGTGTTTTTGTAAACATACCAGGCCAGTGTTTGGTACTTTTAGCTCGCTTAGGTATGCTCGAGGAATAGATTCGTCTGCTTTTGTTTTATTGAAATTGCTTTAAAGATTATGTGTTTGGATATATCAGATAACGAGAGATAGCTTGTTTAGCTATCCTAGCTGGTGATGCCGGAACACATTTGGCGGCTGGCTGTCCTTGGTCGACTTGAGTTACTGTTTACTGTTGTTTGTCTCCCTGCTTGTCTATGTACAAACTGGATTGAAGTGACCTTGTAGGATTATTTTATTGAGTATCTATATCTATCTATCTCTGTCTGTCCGTCTGTCTGTCTATCAAGGAGTTGATTTATGGTACAAGAACACAGGAGTAACACAGTTTGGTGCGGCAGTGTTCAGTGTTTACAGGTGCTGTAATTCCTTCAACTTAGAATTAATAGAAAAATGGTGCACTAACATGGGATGAGTCAGTGTGTTATTACTTTATTTCAGAAAAATGTAAATGAAGTGACTTGAGTGTAAATGAAGTGACTTGAGTGTAAATGAAGTGACTTTTGAGTGTAAATGAAGTGACTTTTGAGTGTAAATGAGTGCTACCAACACAGTCACTTACTCAACATTGTGCTCCGCCTGCTTCACAATATCTAGAACATAAAAAATGCTTCAGTAGCACCAAACGGTACTTTAAGCCGTGATATGGTGATGTATAAACAGCAACAGGTGTTATACAGTGCTACACATGAAGCAGCAACAGGTGGTTCATCAGCGTAGTGAGTGATACACACACACACAGGGTGGGTGGCCTTCATGGGAGAATACACAAATTACTAGTTTTTGTGGCTCTTGTGTGGGTCTACCTAAGTGTTGAAGGTCGGAGAGTTATGTTTTACTCCCAACTGGTGATTAATACTGTAGATTATCCCCCAGAGTATACCTACCCCAACTGGAGGTGATCACACACTACAGTTAATCGTAACTAACTGTGGAGACGCGAGAAGAGGATGGACATAACTTGCTCTCTTAAGTAAAAGCCTTTTAAATTACGGAGTAGAATTAACGGCCTTTGCCTGCACGAGGCCGATTTCATCTTCGTACGCATGCGAACTGAACCCGACACAACGTTTGTTAGGTTAAGTTAAAAGGCATTGTATTCGTAATCAAGGGGTTGTCTTCGTACTCAAGGGATATTCGAGGGGCTGTCCTCGTACTCAAGGGATTGTCTTCGTACTCAAGGGATTGTTCTCGTACTCAAGGAGTAATAAGAAACGTTTATGATAGAAAGACGTTCATGCTTGTACCATTTGTATTCACGAGGGAATTGTTTGAGGGATAATGGCGTCGTAAAGGTGGCGGTTTATTGTTACTGAAAATAATGTCAGTTGTTGCTTATTGGCGCGTATGGTGGTGTAATGGGAGGGTTTTTATCTTGTTAGAAAGGTTTAGATCATGTTAGAAAAGGATTAGATCATGTTAGAAAAGGATTAGATCATGTTAAAAAAGTTTAGATCATGTTAGAAAGGTTTAGATCATGTTATAAAGGTGTAGATCATGTTAAAAGGGTTTAGATTATGTTAGAAAATGTTTAGATCATGTTAGAAAGGTTTAGATCATGTTAGAAAGGTTTAGATCATGTTAAAAGGGTTTAGATTATGTTAGAAAAGGTTTATATCATGTTAGAAAGGTTTAGATCATGTTAGAAAGGTTTAGATCACGCTAAAAAGGGTTTAGATTATGTTAGAAAAGGTTTAGATCATGTTAGAAAGGGCTTACTGTAGATCCTACACTTTAGATCATATTAGAAAAGGTTTAGATCATCCTAGAAAAGGTTTAGATCATGTTAGAAAGGGCTTAGATCCTACACTTTAGATCATGTTAGAAAAGGTTTAGATCATCTTAGAAAAGGTTTAGATCATGTTAGAAGGGTTTAGATCATGTTAGAAAGGTTTAGATCATGTTAGAAAAGGTTTAGATCATGCTAGGAAGGTTTAGATCACGTTAAAAAGGTTTAGATCATGTTAAAAAAGGTTTAGATCATGCTTGGAAGGTTTAGATCACGTTAAAAAGGTTTAGATCATATTAGAAAAGGTTTAGATCATATTAGAAAAGGTTTAGATCACATTAGAAAAGGATTAGATCATGTTAGAAAGGTTTACATTATAATCAGTTATTAGAAAGGCTATATTTTTTTATTTACAGGTATTTGTCTATTTTTTTTTTTATGGGATTAGGCCACCCGGGCACTGGTCACTGACATACATCGGGGCCTTGGGGGGGGATGTAATAATAATAATATTAATAATAATTCAGATAAGTAAAATGTACAATAAAAAATACAAAACTAAAAATAATGAAATAATAATGATAATAATAATAACAACAACAACACTGCTTGTTACATTATGGCAAAATAACCTCTTGAGTACGATGACTTAATCCTAGAGTACGATGACTTAATCCCTTAGTACGATTCTCTATGTATACATTTCATCCTTATAAGTATGTCCTATTATTACATGTATCTCTTATAAGTACAATCCAGTATGTACGTCTTTGTGTCCCTATGTATGTATGTATGTATGTATGTATGTATGTATGTATCCACTGTATATGTTTTACCCGGCTGATCTCTCCCCTGTGTGTGTGTGTGTGTGTGTGTGTGTGTGTGTGTGTGTGTGTGTGTTCCAGTCATATGTAAGTCACTGGGCAACACCCCATATTATAAGTACGTTGGTAGAGTAAGAGCACTTATACGTCACCCTCCCCCACAAGTGGGTCCTCTGCCCTATATAGAGGGGCGAGTGGCCGAGCTGGTAGGGCCTCAAGTCTCTAGAGGAGGGTGAGGGTGAGAGAGAAATGATGAGAACGGAGGAGAGAGAGAGAGAGAGAGAGGATAAAGGCAGTGTATCCCTCAGTCAAGATTCACAAAGGCTCACTTTAACACACAAAAACACTAACTTCCATAATGGCGCTGGTCAGTATTACACACAGACTCAATTAGATATGTCTATTTAGGGAACGTTCACAATCTCTATAAATTCGCCTTCATGGTGTACAGAGGTCGTTTTAAAAGCTCTCCTGTTGAGTCTATGTCACGTTCAGTTTCAATATTCTTTCTCTGTGTTATGGTTACTCCTCTCCTGTGTGACGTTGGTTGTCTTGTGTCACTTCCTACACTCATCCCTCTGCCTCTACGGGCGGTGTGTGTGTTTGTACAATATGTATTTGTAGTGTGTGTGTGTGTGTGTGTGTGTGTGTGTGTGTGTGTGTGTGTGTGTGTGTGTGTGTGTGTGTGTGTGTGTGTGTGTGTGTGTGTGTGTGTGTGTGTGATAGAAGGAGGTTTCTTGAAGCCTTATAGCGACGATTTATTTACTAGTGGAGAGCGTAATTAAACCAAGCTCTGGTAATTGAAAATGAAGGTCTTCTGACATTATAACAAGATAGGGAGATGGTCTTTATTCCTCACGTGGGCGAGGTGGCGTGAGTAGGGCGGTCAGTGCTGTCTGTATCTCAGTGTCTCGTACAATGTTTCTTAATAGTAGTCTGTCTCCAAAACTTCCTACTCACTAACTAGGTCTCTCACAAATAAAATAATTGTCTCACTAACAAGGTCTTAAGTTAATATCCTCTCAGTCACTAACTAGAACTGTCCACAACATGACTCGATAACAGTGTTATACGCGACATAAAAGTCATTGTAGTGTCCGTACCCTGTAGAGTATTGGTGGCCGGCAACCTTGGCCTGCGGGCCACA